CTTCTCCCTCTGACCCTCTCCTCTCTCATGTGCTCTCTCTCTCTCTCACTCTCTCAAATAAATGAATAAATAAAATCTTAAAAAAAAAACAAAACAAAACAGAACAGATTCTTTTTTCCATTTCCTCTATCAAAGGTGGACCGGTAGTAAAATAAAGATGGCAAGCATTCTCGCGGCCTGTGCACACGGCATGGTGCCTGCCCCTGGTCACCGGGTGGCCTTTCTTTCCCAGGGCGGGAGAAAACCCTGACATGGCAGAGGCATTCCAAAGGGGAGACATTAAAAAGATTGTGTAGGTAGTTGGATAGCTTTTATAAAAACAGGAGTCCAGGAAAAGGATTCTTGCTTCAAGAAACACTTTCCTATTTTTTCTCATAAATTGTATCTGGGAAAATACCTTAAGCGATTCGTACTGTTTTCTCTTCCATGTTTAACCGTACAATCACGGTGTGTCCTCTGAGGTCGCAGGTCTGTCCTGTCCGATTTGCCCACAGAAGTACCACGAAACCCCACCTTTCACCTAGCAGATAAAACTGGAAGGAAAAGCATAAGTACATATATTTTTAAGTGCATTGGATTATTAGTTTTTCAACCCTTTTGACCTGATTTGTCTACAAAATAGTCCTACAGTGTAACGCTGTCTCTTGGAAATAAAGTAGATCCTACAGATCTGATGCCTGATAATCAGAGGTGCCCACGTAAACTGGTTAACAACAGACAGCAATAACTTCATTTTTGAAACAAGCAAGCAAGAGCTTGAGAGCTTCCATATATGGTACATCTTAACATTGTCAAGTTTTGCTGTGATGAAAGCAATATTTGTACAAATGAAAAGCAAGATTCCCTTTTCTGTGGTTTACACTGTTGATCAGAACATGTTGATTGTATATTGAGTATAAAAAAATTAGATGTATATTATTCATTGCTCTTTACTTATGAGTACCTTATAAATAATAATATCGTATCCTTTGTTAACAATGCGGCGTTGACAGTAGTTATTTATCATATCTGACCCACTGTAGATGTTCTTCCTGATAACTTTTTAAAATTAATTAATAAACTTTATTTTTAGAGCAGTTTTAACTTCAAAACCTGAACAATGGAGCAGAAAGTATAGAGAGTTCCCATATCCTCCCTGCCCCCGCCCCTCCAGCCTCCCCCACTATCGTGTCCACACCCAAGTGGCCTGGTAACTTTTTTTTTGTTAAGATTTTATTTATTTTTTGTTTGAAAGGGAACGAGAGAGTGAGAGAATGGGTGGGGGGAGGGGCAGAAGGAGACGCAGGCTCCCCACTGAGCAGGAAGCCCCATGTGGGGACTCCATCCCAGGACCCTGGGATCATGATCTGAGCTGAGAAGGCAGACGCTTAACCGGCTGAGCCACCCGGGCACCCGCCTGGTAACTTTTTAATGTTTGGAGGTTTCTTGTGTGTGACGGGGACGCTCCTCGGTGCCATGCTTTGCAGCCACGGGCACTGGGACCCGGGTCTGCAGACGCTGCACGCTGGCTCCTAGGCCTTCTCCTCCCCTGGCTTCCTTCATCGTGGAGAGAAGCACAGAGCCAAGAGGGAGGATGTTTCTACGGCAGGCGCCAAAGCAAACAGCAGTTTTGCTGAGATTCTGCTAAATCACAAATGCTAGAAACCTGAGGAATGAAGAAGCACACCCTCGTGTTCACACCTGCTGCTTACAGTCTGCTTACAATCTGGGGACTTGCCCACTCCGTGAGGCCGTCGTGGGTTGGGAATGCCAGTAGCCTAGGCTTCGTGTGAGCCAGGAAAGTAACCACCAGCACCGAAGGAAATTGTTCTGTGAAGGCTGAGGTAAACGTTCTATAAAAACCCGGCTCTCGGGCGCCTGGGTGGCTCAGATGGTTGAGCGTCTGCCTTCGGCTC